CCAAATAAATCAGTCCGTCTACAAGGTGGCACAGGACTCCTCGTTATTTTTACAAAGCACTGAGGAAGAAAATTAAAAGCCTAATGTGTTGCAGAAACCCCAGGGGCATTTGGGGGCTTTTAAGTGCAGAGAGGGGGGTTTACGCTCAGGTTCTGAAAGCCTGATGCACCCTCCATTACTCTGGTGATTAGACAGAAGAGTGGCATAAATCAGTCCGTCTACAAGGTGGCACAGGACTCCTCGTTATTTTTACAAAGCACTGAGGAAGAAAATTAAAAGCCTAATGTGTTGCAGAAACCCCAGGGGCATTTGGGGGCTTTTAAGTGCAGAGAGGGGGGTTTACGCTCAGGTTCTGAAAGCCTGATGCACCCTCCATTACTCTGGTGATTAGACAGAAGAGTGGCAAGTAACTGTGCACAAAAAAAGCTGCTTCTACAAACACCCGATCCAGCAGTGTCCTTGGTGACTGAGAGCACGGTGATGAAAACCTAGCGAGCTGATTTAACTGTGCTCATGCTCTGAGCTCCAAGCAGCCTACGGGATCTTTGGTAGAGGCCTGCGTTTATTTCCAGTTTCTCAGGGCACCCCTGAACCCCACTTCCCTATTGCAGTGAAGTGCATGTCACTGCCACCACCTATGCCAGCAACAGCCTCCTCAGGGCTAGGTCTGACCAGAAAGACCAATCTGGTGGATACCTGGGAAACCTGAGCTTCTGTTTTTTAAATATTTTGCACATAAGGGGTTTCCTCTACGGACAGGCCTTCCGCAGCTGACAATCCCACCGTTCCCTGTTTGCACAGACGCGGCCAAGCCAGCTCACCACATTTTGAGAGTCAGCACGTTTCTTGGAGCAGACAAGGCATAAGTGCTGTACGCAACCAGCTCACTCATCCTCATTTTCACCAGGAGGGAAGCGGGAGCAAAGTGAGACTGCTGAGGCTCCCGGTGAGTCAGGGAGAGGGGCAGGGAAGAGAAAGGAAGGGCGAGAGGCTGCACTAGACACGCTGCCCTGCCTCTCAGAGCCCTCAGCCCAGGCCTGAAACAAATCATTAGACATCCCTTTGCAGCAGCTCCCCCCGCAGTGACTCACGGCTGGGAGAAGGGGAGGGTGTGGCTGTCATGTTCTCTCCAAAATGCCAGTAAAGCCACTGCAAGCAAAAAGCAGCATTAGCCCAGGAGAGAGCGAAGAATGGACCAAGGTAGTGAGTGCTTTGGGGTTTTGCATGACCAGGGTTTGATTGATGGAAGCTCTCTGGGGCAAGGGGGGGGAGGGATCAGGCCTTGGAGAAGGGCAGAAGGCAAATGGGATTTCATCGGCGCATCTCAAACTCTCTGGAGCTAAGGGGCCCCCCTCCCGTTCACACATGGCGGAATGGGGACTCTGTTCAAATATTGACTCTCACTGGTCACAGAGGCATTCCGCAGCTGACCCCAAAGATGCTGCCCCCGTCACAGAACCCCTTCCTGCTGTCTCTCGCTGCCTTGCATTTGACTGGGTGGACTGTGCCAAGCAGGGGCGAAGCATTATGTAACGACTACACACAGAGCCAGCAGCTCAAACCAGGCAGTAACTCACCCCCACCCATGCCTCGGCACGGAGAAAGTTGCAGTGGCTAAGCCAAGATAGGAGCAAGGCGGGTTTTTAAATACATGGAGACAATGCAGGCTGATGGCTTGTGGCATGCCACAAGGCTGCTGCACCCGTGCTCCATTTACAGACACATTTAACGACACGCTTTCAGGCTTCGCCCAGTGACTGGCACTGAATAGCCCGGAGGAAGTTTTAGAAGCCAGGGGATTATCTGATCACAGATGACACCTGAACTTTAGACACTCCACCACCGAAGGAACGCGAGGATGTTCTAGACACCAGGAAATAAGGACTCAGAAGAAAATCACTCCCCAGAGTGCAATCACCACCCAAGCTGGGCTTCATGCACTAATTTGCAGAGTGGCTTTGCTGCTAGGAGCTTATTCGTTACCCAAATGGTTACACACCAGCTCCCGGTCCGGCTTCCCTCCCACTCCCAGGGAGCTGGCTGCCACCCCTGCTGCAGACTTTCATTTAGGGCCCCGGGGGGGTGGGGCAGCGGGTGGGAGCTGGTACATGCCAGGAGCTGGCTTAAAAGATGGCTCCCTGGGAGCCGGTACATGCCGGAAGCTAGGTGCCACCACCTCAGTATGAGTCTGCAGCATGGGGCAGCAGCCAGTTCCCCGGGAATGGGGCAGCAGGCGGGAACTGGTACGTGCCAGGAGCTGGCTTAAAACATAAGAACGACCAGACTGGGTCAGACCAAAGGTCTATCTAGCCCAGTATCCTGTCTGCCACTGTGGTCGATGCCAGATGCCCCAGAGGGAGTGAACACAACAGGTAATCCTCACGTGATCCCTCTCCTGCCATCCATTTCCAGACAGGCTAGTTACCCATTGATGGACCTAACCACCAGGAACAGTGCGCTGGAAGCTAGGTGCTGCCCCACGCTACCCCTCTATGTAAGAGTCTGCAGCATGGGGCAGCAGTCAGCTCCCTGGAAGTGGGGCCAGCAGCTGGGAGCCACTGGCTGCTGCCCCCGACCCCGGGAAGCCAGCGTGCAACCGCTAACATTTTTAGCGGCTACTTGATCACAACCAGCGTTTTTTAACATCCCTATTTTCTGCTATCGTCATTTACCTTTGGGGTGGGGGCTGCCAGCGTAACCCAACATGGCCGCCACATGCAGTCCCAGTTCCAAGACTCAGAAGTGATTTCTCACTCCACAAAGCCCCGGGGACTCCAGGCCAGCGGAGATCTCCAACGGGAAGGGAGCGGGGAGTTCCCAGGCACTGCAGCGCCTCAGCTCCGGTTTTTCCACAAGCGGGTGAGGGAGGAGGCCTTTTCAGCCTTCATTAAATTCTAGGCCCTTTACCTCAGACCCGCTAATGGCCCCAGACAGCTCTGGGACGACAGGCCCGCTGCCGTCACTGCAACGCCCGCGGGGCTTCCGCTGTCCCTCCGAATGGCTGCTACCGAGTCACCCGAGTGGAATTTAAGCCACTTTGTTTTGTGTGAGGCTGAGAACAGGGGTTCAGAGACCTGCATTCAGTCCCCACGCAGCACCCAAAAGGGAGAGCTCCAGTCCCAGCCCCCGGGGGAGCTCAGGAGCGCTCCAACAGTCCCTGCTGCAGGGAAGCGCAGACAGTTCGGCGTGTATGTCGTCAGCATTATCTTTATTTGTACAACTATAAAGAAAGATGGGAGCAATTTCTGACTGGCGTTACCTAGGATTAGCACTGCTAATTTAGAGACTTTTAAATTTAGTTTAGGGACAAGATGGGGTTGGGATGAGGGTGGGGTGTGAATAAAATAGAGAGACACCCGCCCCGAACATTAAAAATAGGGAACATCTAAATTTGTACAAGAACTGCAACATGGCTCCAGCTAGCAAGGGTCTGGGACACTCTGGTGACCAGTTTCATTCTGGGCTGCAGCAAGGCTCGGGTGGCCGCTGGGATCTGGAGCAGCTCCGGGGAAAAGGAGGCGTTCGCCCATCCGACCGGCTCCCCAGCACTCACAGTTCACAGCAGCCGTCTTCACTGCCAGCATGAACAGTGTGGGATTTCAAGTGGGAGCTGGCTGGGAGGGGGAAGGAAGCTTCACACCTCTGGGTGTCGGGGCCAAGGAGGGCTCCGTGGAAGTTATTTTGCGCTGTGCCCAGGCCTGCAGGAAAAGATGCCTCAGGATACTTGCAGTCGCCCGGGGACGCAGAAGATCTAGCGGCAGCAGAGTGTTCTCAGGAAAACCCAAACCCGCCCCACTGCAGTAACATGAATGGAGGTGCCGTCAGCAGCTTCCACAAAGAGCGGGCAGGGAAGGAAACGCACAGAGGAGGGGAGAGAAAAGGGGCCCCAGAGAGAAGTGTAAACGTCCCTTTGTTAATCTCTAGCGAGGAGTTTCCTACAGTCCCGTTCTCAAGCCGAGGGAAAGGCTCTGGATCGCTGCTCAGGAACTGGCCGCTTCCAGCTGCCTGGCCCTCGGCCTGCGTTGGGGGAGACCCACGGTTTCTGTGTCGGGTGTGGCTGGATGCGCCTGGGCCAAGTGGACGGGCTGGCTCCCTGGCGAGACGGTACCAGTTCCACTGGTTCCTGTGGAATGAGTCTGGCCAGGGTCATTAGCAACCCCTGCAGGTCGGCACTGGGAATTCTGAGACTTGGAACTGGGCTGTGCCCAAGGCCCGTTTCTGGACCGGTTCGTACTGTCGGGTCTTCCGGGATTGGAGGGGCCGGAACGGCGCTGGCCTTGGAGCCGGGAACCCTGGCCTCGTCTCCTGTTACCCTGGAAGGCCTGAAACAGAAAGAAGGGCTGGCAAGTGCCTGGAGAGAGACTAGCAGAGCCAGTGAGCGACATGCAGCAGAGATCTTTGAACCACCAGTGCCAAGGCCCTGGCAGAGCCACCCCCGCCCTGCCCAGCGCAACAGGACAGCCACCCTGCAAGCCCCCTGGGCTGGTGGCATTTCCAGGGATTGTCGCAGTAGCTAGGCGGGTGCTGGGGAGGGGCAGGTGATGGCTGACCGCTGCCATTGCTGCTCTCTGAGAAGTGAGCCAAGCCCTGCTCTGGATTCACGTTGTGCCCTCTGGCCTGGTGACCAGGGAACGAGACACAACGCGCTTGGCAGGAGGGTTCCATCTGAGATCGAGGAAACAGCCCGGAGCTGGAGCTGAGGTCCCTGAACACTTCTCTTGCGAAGGCATCACCTACCTCTCGGTGAGGCAGGCATGGACGGCTGCCGGCGCTGGCTCCGGCTGCAGGTGTTTCTGCCGAGGACGGGGGCTTCCTGCTTGCAGGGGGAAGGCTGGGAGCAGAGGCACATGCCAGGGCAGAGGGATCGCTGGGGCTCGGGGGCACGGATGTGAGGGAGCTACACCGGGATCTGGTTGAGTAACTGTTCTTTGGATGGGAAACTGAAATGGAAAACAATTCAGGGCAGATTCTGCTTCTAGGCCTCAAGGAACCGCACGCCCCTTCACACGCGCATGTGCCCCCTAGCCACACCCACCGCGGGCCTACAACACGAATGGATGTCCCATGGGGCTTACGCTACCACTTCACCTGCTGACTGACCTACGACCTGTGCGGAGCTCAGCTGGCCAGGGTCAATGCACCAGCCTGAGAACACCCCGAAGGGCCCCAACACAGACACCCCAGTGAACACAGAGGGTCCAAGTCGTGCTCCCACCACTAGACGTGATCCTCCATCCCCAGACTAAGCACATTCCTGATGGAGACCACTTAGCTCCTGCCAGACTTTTATAGCCTGAGTGAATTTACCGCCCTTCGAAGAGCCTCTGTCAGGTCTGACCAGGATCCGTCACGCCCCCCATTGTCAACGCTGCTCACGTGCGCAGGGCTACAAGGGGGCCCCGGCAAAGATACTCCCCCACCAAACACAAAACACTAACATTACACAGCTGGCAGCCCACTACCCTCCCCGCCCTGGGCTCACCCCAAAACTCACCGCCCATTGCACCATGCTCCAAAGGTCAACAGAAAGGAAGCTCCTTCCAGAGCAGAGCCCCCCCAATAGCACTCTTACCACTGGCCCCTAATTTAAACCCAGGAGCCCTGGCACCGGCACCGGCACCCGACCCTGCCCGCAGCCGACCAGCTCACCTTGCCCAAATGAGCTGATGCTCTTCTTGACTGTGTCCAGATCACAGGTGAATCGTGCCACTCTGCCCAGGTCTTCATCGTATTTGCGTTCGCTGACAAAGTGCTTAATGGGAAGGAACACATGCCCGGTGACAAACTGGCACTGAGAGGGGAAACACAGACGAGGGTCTACCTCGCCTGGCAACAGCTGCTCGGGTCAGGCATGGCTCTGACAGCCGGCCAAGAAAGGCGACAGTCACCCCCATGAGTCGCTCAGCAGCGGTGTGGCTCCCCTCCACCAGTGCAAACACACCAGTGTCGACAGCCTCCACCAGCAGTGGCATTTCAGGGTAACCCTGTGAGAGCAGCTGGATCTGCCTCTTACCACACGACCGGGGTCAGGGCGGCTCGTGAATCTGCTTTGGATGCTACAGTCCGAATGGGAGAGGACAAGCCCAGCTTAGGACCGATTGTTGCTGGGAGAACGCAGCGAGCCCGGGCTCGGACTTGCAGGCTGGATTTTAAAGCAGCCAGTAGATAACATTTTACTGACCTCTGGTGGTCAAAGTGCGTGCGTGTCTGAATGCAAGGGACCCAGTGGTCAGGTGCCTGCTGATGCTTGTGGAAGTGACAACTGCAGACTGCCTAGTTCAGCGCATCCTCTGATGCCCACCCTGCCAGGCCAGCCACGGAGTCAAGGCTCGCGAGGTGCCAGAGGCCTGTTCCAGGCCAGTCCAAAACAGCTTTGTTCCACGTTTAATTAAGCGCTGATAAGGATCAAAAGATCCTTGGTTGGTTCAAGTCAGAATTTTGGCTGTAAAAACGCGGAACAAAGGGTCCCGCAGCTCACCCGCCGCCATGGCCCACGCGCGGCTGGGAGCGAATGGAATCTGAGAGCTACTGTTTTATGCAGAGCAGAAAGCAAAACTTTACAGGCACGGGTGCCGCTCTGAATGGACACCGGGCAATGTCATTTCAGGTATGCACCCGGCTGGCTCCATTCTGAGTCAGTCAGCGAGCTGAAGCCTGCACTCCCTGGGCACAACCGACACTCGGTTACATGACACGCTTCATTCCAAACCCAGGAGTCAGCGCTCAGGTCAGTGCTCTGTTGTAACAGGAAGGAGGAGTAGAAAAGTTCACCTTTATGTCAGCTCTAAGCTCTACCAACTGCTCCTCTGACATGCGCACGGCAACATCAGTCATCTTCTTTAGAGCCCCAGCTTTCTTCTGTCGGCTGACCAGGATTTCCACTGAAATGCAGAGAACGGGAGACCAAAGCTTATGCAGAATTCATGCTGACGGAAGGGGTCAGTCTGTTGAAACTAGGGATGTAAACCACCAAGAGCTTATAGGTTAATGCTACAGACTACATGTATTCTCCCCCTCACTAGTATGTTTTATAGCAGGTTGTAACCCAGTTCAGTCTTGGTTCACAGGGTGTGGGACCTACCCCTGGTGTGGCTCTGCAGTTACAGGGTATTAGGAGCCAGGTGGGCAGGCAGCCCGGCTCAGTTCCAGCTCACGCCAGATCTGGCAGCTCAGCCCCCCATGACAGGGGCTGCTGCCACCCTGCACTGCAGGGTGACAGACAGCCAGCCTACAAGGGAAGCTGGTTTTAAAACTGGCTGCCCTCACAGACTAGCTCCTGGCTGTCACCCCATGCTGCTGCTTCTGATACAGGGCAGCAGCGTGGAGTGGCAGGGGGCTCCCCGGGAGTGGGGTCAGAGCGCACTGGCTACCAGCCCCACCCCAGGGACTATAGAATAGTCAAGTAACGAATAAGAGAATTCATGAGGTTAATCCACTACTCCATTAACTGAGATTTAACATCCCTCGTTGAAACTTAACATGCCTTGAATTCTGCTACAAAGCATCCCGCCGGCACACAGCCTGTTTAACCACACCCCCAAACGGCGAGTTAAGCACCGGAGGCTGCTGTGTCAAGAAAAGGAACATTAAAACACTGCCACAATGTTGTGTCAGCAACACTGCAGAGGTGAAAGCGGCAGGGACCGGCTGCTGGTACTGGCCAGCACACGGACAGCCCCAAAGCAGTGCCTCGGTGGCGCTTTAACTAAGTTACCCCTTCTGCTGCCCCCATTGGCAGGGCTGCCACACCCTACCAGCAGAGCCGCTGATTGGGAGTGAGGGAGCAAAAAGACACAGCTGCTAAAAGGGCCCACAGCCAGCTGCTGCCACAACAGCAGCAGCCACAAAGGGCTGGCTTGGGACTTTGCCCCAGCCTCATCCCTTCTGCTCAAGGCTCCATCCCTTCCAGGAGCCCAAAGCTGCCGTCCCACCTTGCCGAAGACCCCAGCAGATACGGATAAATTCTGGCACTGACTTTCACCCCTGCTACACTGTCCAGACTGCAACAGTTTCTGACCACAAGAGCACCCCGCTAAGGAAGCCACTGGAAAGGGAGCTTAAGAACAAAGCTGGATTTTGTTTTGTTGAGGGTCAGTAGCACTGGCACGTGCACAAAAACCGAGCCCGTCTCTCTCACCGTTCCATTTCCTTCCTGATTACCCCAAACAGCCTGCACCAGCAGGCAGCTGCCCTCCTGATCTTCAGTACAGAACCAGGAACAGAGAGAGAGGGGACATCAAGAGGAATATGCGCCCTCAGCTTCAGCCTACACTTCGGGGGGAGTTTTTTACTTCCTAGCACAAAACAACCTTCGGTGTGTCACAGAGAAAGCAGCGATCTGGAGACATTAATACCCAAATAGCTTGTCTTTTGGCAAGTGAATTAGTCTAGTTAACAACAATTGTGTGTAACCAGAGAAGGTAAAGTCTTAGTGGCACGGCAAGTTCTAACTAGATTTAAACACAAATCTGGCTCAATTAAGACCCGATACAAAAACAGTGGTTATATAAAGGAAGGTTTAAATATTTAAAGGCACATCATCCGATTAAAAACATTTCCTTAGCTTTGTGACACCCAGCATTATTAAAATGGAAAGGATCTTGTAGCTACTTCACTGTGCATTTATGCTACTCATTTCTCGAACATAAAGCAGCTAGTGAATTTCACTTTATTCTTATACTGCTCTTACACAATGGTCAGACTGCAACCATGACAACGGGATGTTGGTTTAAAAGAAACCTTGCTCTGGAATAAGAACTTTTTACGGCACTGAAGCCTGACTAACTTCACAAAACAAATGCAGCTTGTGGCCAAGTTTGATTGGCGTCCCTTTAACGGCCACATGCCAGTCTAGCCGGCAGGGGGTGTGTGTGTGTGTGATTCGTTTACCGAGGAATGATGGAAGTTGGAAGTTTCACTAGACACTCTGCTCTCATGGGAACTGTGCCTGTGCAGCTCTGCTGGTAAAGCAGAATAGCAGCAGCTTTTAAGAGGAGGCATTTTATAAAAATAAAACGAGTCTTACTTGCTTCTGCTTTCACTTTGTCCATTTCGGCTAGGAGCGCTACCTCTCGGTCCATGAGGCTAAGAAGAGAAGGTGACAGTAAGAAGGTCTGATATCAAGAGCCTGAGTTCACAATCTCGATACAAATAACCCAGAATTCAAAGTTGCCAAAGGATTTTGGGGGGGGAAACAGACAGCAGCAAAAGCTTCCTCCCTTGACGTGGCGAGATGCACTCAACACAGACGCGCTTCAGTCGCTGTTGGTCAGTCAGCAGAGGTCAGGCCAGCAGGTGGCGCCAGAAAGCACCTACGCCGCCGCAGCCCTTCCCAGCCTGGAGCGGCCGCTGGAAGTCCCACACCCACCTTCATGTCCGCCCGTTCCCATTTGGTCTGGACGTGCCAGAGCTGTGTGTGAAATCCAGTCCCAGTGCGGCCCACAGAAATCCGTGCTTGTGGCTGGGGCAGCCTCCCGGCACTGGTGCCATCAGCTTGTGACAGGAAGGGGAGAATGGCAAAGCTGCTGCAGGAAATCGTGTTTTGCAGGCCTGCATCAGAAAACCCCCCAGTCACAGATGAGGAAACCAGAGCTGAGAGATTAAGTGATTCGCACAAGCTGCAGGCTCAGTCTGTGGCAGTACCAGAAGTCTTGATGGCCAAGGCCTCGACCTTACCACTAGGTAACACTCCCTCCAGAACGGTCTCAGCAAGAGCTGAGCTTTGAGCTACAGCTGCAGCAGGACAGACCCGGGGACACGACTTTGAGTCGCTCATTGCCCCCATCTCAGTCTGTTACTTGGCCGTGTCAGTAACAAGCCTCGTTACCACCAGGTTGTGTGTGTTCAGGCTCTGGACAGGATGCACAGGCAAAGTCCACTTGGCTCGTTACACAACATGTTAAAATCCCCTTGGTTCTGACACTCACCGCGTAAGCTGGCTTGAGGGAAGGCCTTTGAGAGGCTGCTGAGAAGGGTCTAAGACTTAAAAAAAAAATCCCATCAAAGCCCCAAAGCCAACAGTTGACGGTAAAGCTCTAGCGTTTCAAACCAATTCCCAGCCTTCCCCATAGCAAAATAGCAGATGTGGAGGGGTGGGGGGGAAGAGAAGGATTTTACCCTCTAATCCCAAAGGCTGAATGCTGATGCTTCTGCTCACATCACAGAGGCTCTTGAATAGCCGAACACACCTTGCCAATGAAGTGACAAGTCCCGGATATAAGAACACACACGTGACACTCAAGACTTCGACACTCTGGCCTCCGGTTGTCCCCACACACAGAAAGCGGCCCCCAAACACTGACGTTCATGGCCCGACCCTTAAAAAGCCCATGGTGACTATAGCAACTGGCCTGCAAGGGAGACCCCAAGAGGGTCACAACAATACCCCTCATATGCCTGTGAGCTGTACTGTGACTTGGATGCCTATCTGCTGCCAGACTAAATCCCCTGAGCCGGGTTGCCAGAGCTTCCAGTGACAGCCAAATTCAGACCAGAGTGAGCAGTTCATGGCCCGACCCTTAAAAAGCCCATGGTGACTATAGCAACTGGCCTGCAAGGGAGACCCCAAGAGGGTCACAACAATACCCCTCATATGCCTGTGAGCTGTACTGTGACTTGGATGCCTATCTGCTGCCAGACTAAATCCCCTGAGCCGGGTTGCCAGAGCTTCCAGTGACAGCCAAATTCAGACCAGAGTGAGCACTCTTCAGCTAGCTGCCTTAGCTGCTTGGCTCAGCCACTGAGGAGCAGACGGGG